GATCTAATAGTAGATCATTGGACAACGGTCAAGAATATCCTTAGTAAGGACTAAGGAGATGTTTCTCGATTATGGAGGTGATAAAAGAGTTTGTTGTAAAAGTTACATCAGTGCAAACTTTTACACTGATCCAGATGACTCTAAGTCTCAATCTGGATACATATTGAAAGTGGGAGCAATTAGCTAGAGTAGCACCGTGCAGAGCATTGTGGACATAGAATATTTGCAAAATACATACGGCTCTGAATGTGACAGACCCGTTGACTAAAATTCTCTCACGAGCAAAACATGATCACACCTTAGTACTCTTTGGGTGTTAATCACATAAGCGATGTGAACTAGATTATTGACTCTAGTAAACCCTTTGGGTGTTGATCACATGACGATGTGAAATATGGGTGTTAATCATATACATATATGAATATTGGTGTTAAATCACATGGCGATGTGAACTAGATTATTGACTCTAGTACAAGTGGGAGACTGAAGGAAATATGCCCTAGAGGCAATAATAAAGTTATTATTTATTTCCTCATATCATGATAAATGTTTATTATTCATGCTAGAATTGTATTAACCGGAAACATAATACATGTGTGAATACATAGACAAATATAGTGTCACTAGTATGCCTCTACTTGACTAGCTCGTTTATCAAAGATGGTTATGTTTCCTAGCCATGGACAAAAGATTAGGAGAATGATGTGATTGACTTGACCCATTCCGTTAGCCTAGCACTTGATCGTTTAGTATGTTGCTATTGCTTTCTTTATGACTTATACAATGTTCCTACAACTATGAGATTATGCAACTCCCGTTTACCGGAGGAACACTTTGTGTGCTACCAAACGTCACAACGTAACTGGGTGATTATAAAGGTGCTCTACAGGTGTCTCCAAAGGTACATGTTGGGTTGACGTATTTCGAGATTAGGTTTTGTCACTCCGATTGTCGGAGAGGTATCTCTGGGCCCTCTCGGTAATGCACATCACTATAAGCCTTGCAAGCAATGTAGCTAATGAGTTAGTTACGGAATGATGCATTACGGAACGAGTAAAGAGACTTGCCGGTAATGAGATTGAACTAGGTATTGGATACCGACGATCGAATCTCGGGCAAGTAACATACCGATGACAAAGGGAACAACGTATGTTGTTATGCGGTTTGACCGATAAAGATCTTCGTAGAATATGTGAGAGCCAATATGAGCATCCAGGTTCCGCTATTGGTTATTGACCGAGAATAGTTCTAGGTCATGTCTACATTGTTCTTGAACCCGTAGGGTCCCCACGCTTAAGGTTTCGATGACAATTATATTATGAGTTTATGAGTTTTGATGTACCGAAGGAGTTCGGAGTCCTGGATGAGATCGGGGACATGACGAGGAGTCTCGAAATGGTCGAGACGTAAAGATTGATATATTGGACGACTATATTCGGAGTTCGGAAAGGTTTTGAGTGATTCGGGTATTTTTCGGAGTACCGGGGAGTTACGGGAATACGGGGAAGAGTATTGGGCCTTAATGGGCTTTAGTGGGAAGGAGCCAGGAGGTGGCGCGCGCTCCTCCCAAGCCCAGTCCGAATTGGACAAAGGGTTTGGGGCGCGGCCCCCCTCTCCCTTCCTTCTCTACTTCCCTTCTTTCCCCCCTTCTCCTAGTTGGACTAGGAAAGAAGGAATCCTACTCCCGGTGGGAGTAGGACTCCCCTTGGCGCGCCCTCCTCCTAGGGCCAGCCTCCTCCTCCCTTGCTCCTTTATATACAGGGGCAGGGGGCACCCCATGACACACAAGTTGATCTACGGATCGTTCCTTAGCCGTGTGCGGTGCCCCCCTCCACCATATTCCACCTCGATCATATCGTCGCGGAGTTTAGGCGAAGCCCTGCGCCGGTAGAACATCATTATCGTCACCACACCGTCGTGCTGACGGAACTCATCTCCGGAGCTCGGCTGGATCGGAGGCCGGAGATCGTCATCGAGCTGAACGTGTGCTGAACTCGGAGGCCCCGTACGTTCGGTGCTTGGATCGGTCGGATCGTGAAGACGTACGACTACATCAACCGCGTTGTGCTAACGCTTCCGCTTACGGTCTACGAGGGTACGTGGACGAACACTCTCCCCTCTCGTTGCTATGCCATCACCATGATCTTGCATGTGCGTAGGATTTTTTTGAAATTACTACGTTCCCCAACACTTTTTTGTGGACTTCTGTTACTGATCTAGCTTTCAATACACTCAAGCAAGCCCTAGTGGAAGCACCAGTCCTGGCATTGCCACAGTTTGATAAGCCCTTTGTGATTGAAACAGATGCGTGTGACACTGGAATAGGAGCTGTTTTAATGCAAGAAGGACATCCACTGGCTTATGTAAGCAAAGCTCTTGGCCCTAAAAACAGAGCACTGTCAGTATATGAGAAGGAGTATATGGCTATCCTATTAGTTGTGGAACAATGGAGGGCTTATCTTCAAATGCAGCAGTTTACTATTAAAACTGATCAAAGAAGTCTGATACACTTGCAAAATCAGAAGTTACACACTATCTGGCAACAGAAAGCTCTCACAAAACTAATGGGAATGAACTATCAAATTGTTTACAAGAAGGGAGTTGACAACACTACAGCTGATGCACTTTCTAGGAAACCACACCCTCAAGTTTTCCACATATCCAGAGCTCAACCAGTGTGGCTGGAGGAAATTGTTAACAATTATGCTCATGATGATAAGATTACTGAAATTTTGCAGCAAATGTCTATGGACCCAGCTGCTAAACCTAACTATCAACTTGTGCATGGTCTCTTGAGGTATAAAGGTTGTATTTGGATTGGTAACAACCTGGAGCTGCAGCATAAGATCTTTTCTGCGTTTCATGACAGTCCTGTAGGAGGACATTCAGGGTTCCCAGTAACTTACAACAGAATCCACTCCCTGTTTCGTTGGGCTAGCATGAAAGCTTTTATCAAAAACAAAGTGCAATCCTGTGTGGTTTGTCAACAAGCTAAAGCTGAACGAGTACATTATCCAGGCCTTCTTTCTCCATTGCATGTTCCTAAACAAGCCTGGGAAACTGTTACTATGGATTTCATCACTGGGTTGCCAGTTTCCTGCCAGTTTGATTGCATTCTGTTGGTTATTGACAAATTCACCAAATATGGTCATTTCATGGCTCTGCGACACCCATTTACTGCTCAAAAAGTTGCAGAGATTTTCCTGGATAATGTTTACAAGTTACATGGTATGCCCGAACTCATTGTATCTGACAGGGATCCTGTTTTTACCAGCAACTTCTGGCAGACTCTTATTAACAGAACTGGCACTCATCTGAATATGAGCTCGGCTTATCATCCGGCTACTGATGGACAGACTGAGCGAGTTAACCAGCAGGTGGAGTGCTATTTGCGGAGTTTCATCAGTTCTCACTCTACTAAATGGAGTAAATGGTTGTCGCTCTGTGAGTTTTGGTACAACACCAATTGGCATTCTGCTGTGGGGAAATCACCATTTGAAGTTTTGTATGGACAACCTCCCAGGTATTTTGGTATTTCTCCATCAGACACAATTCCTCCTTTGGACATTCAACAATGGTTGCAAGATCGACAGGTTGTAGTTGAGTCTGTCAGACAACACTTGCTACGAGCTCAACAGAGAATGAAACAGTTGGCAGATAAACACAGGACTGAGAGAACTTTTGATGTGGGCGAGCTGGTTTTCCTTAAGTTGCAGCCTTATGTCCAGTCTTCCGTGGTGCACCGAGCAAATCATAAGTTAGCTTACAAATACTATGGTCCTTACACAATAGTGGGCAGAATTGGGGAGGTGGCTTACAAGCTAGAACTTCCGGAGGGCAACAGGATACACCCAGTTTTCCATGTCTCGCAGTTGAAGAAAGTGGTTGCACCGACCTGTCCTATATCCAGCACGTTACCCTCTGTTAACTCTCATTTGCAGATTCTTGTCAGTGTGCTTCAGAGGCGTGTGCACCAGAAGGGCAAGCGCACCGTCGCACAAGGGTTGATCCTGTGGAGCGATTCTACTCCTGAAGCTGCGACATGGGAGGACCTGGAATCACTCAAGCAACAATTTCCCCGTGCTCCGGCTTGGGGTCAAGCCGTTTCTCAACGGAGGGGGGGTGTCAGCAACCCTGCAAGCACCGACACTGAAGACACGCAGGAGAGCGCTGTAGCAAATCAAGGCGTTGCCGGCAACAGGAAGCCAGATGCAGAACCCATGCTACGGCCCAAGTCTTCGCGGCCCAAGAACCTTCCCCAGTGGCCTGCAGGCCCGAACTGGGCCCGTTGATCGGGTGTAACGTTAAATAGACGTCTCTCTCCCTCGAGAGGGGGTGGCTAGGATTTGGACGGCTGAGGCCGGTGGCTTGTAACGGATAGAGGTGCGGAGGTTGGGTGGCTTTCCTCTGCCGAATTCAAATTATTAGCTCGATTCATACCAATCCATGGCGAGCGTGAGCGATTCCGGCGAGTAGTTCACAGCTGTGGTGACAGGGCTTCGCTTATATGGTCTAACTCTTGTATTTGGGGTTGGGAAGGGGGGTCGAACATAAATGAAATTCGAGACAGTGAAACATGTGATTTATGCACTCGATTTCTAGGGCCTTCATCTTGCCGCACACAGAGTTGCATATAAGAGGTCTGCCAGGAAACGACACCTAGGTGTTAACCCAGTACAAATAGTTTCTGGATTATCGCCCCGATCTATGGCTTTTACAGGCACTACTACAGGTAATCATAATTAAGCTAAAAGCATAAAGTAAACAGTACCCGTTGCCGGATTTCAAACAGCACCCAAGAGAGAATAGGAGCCGTCTGATCGGAGATCAACGTTGACCACGACATCACCCTGGTACCAAGCTGTATGGTGCAGTGTAGACGGTTGGATAGGAGATCGACGGAGGAGGCCAAGCATAACCTTGAAGATTGATAGTGATAGCTTTGTCATTACAATATAATGTCATTAGATATTCAGCAACATCACATGCAGAATGGCATATCATTCCTCGGAGGCATGAAACATCCGGAAGATATCAGGTAAGCGGCAAGCGTGTCCCTCTCCCTCGCCATCCTGCAGAATTCCCGTCTTCCGGTAGTATTCGATGCTATCCAGGAGCGTCTCCTCCAATTCCCTTGGCTTCCAGCCCAGATTCCTCAGCTTTGCCGACGAGATTGGGGTGATAGGAGAGTTGTGATCCATCTCAGCCTTGCTGCAAAAAGCGAAGAGAGCTGTTCAAACCATGTAAACAGGCACGGCCGTTCAGGAAAAAATGTACCATTTTGATAAGAGAAGATACCCACCAGTTTACATAATTGTAGTCAGGGTACGTCTTCTTCAGCAACTCCAGCATGGCTTTTGTGCTAATGTAATTTGGTGCGCTGATATATCTCCCAGATGATTCTGGTTTCTCGTATACCAGAAGCAAAGCATCTGCCACATCACGGACATCGACTATGTGCAACAGCATGTCCTTCATCGCATTAGGACCTCCTGCAATGAATTAACAGAATTTCAGCAGCCAAAAAAGAAAAGTGGCTTTTCGACGACTTACTGTAAGAATTTTTAATGTTGGAATTCATTCAAAATTCTATTGGAATGAGTCACTCAGTAGGAATTTTCATAGGAGTGCTCATTTTAACAAGCTAATTATTCCCTTTCAAAGGACTAAATTTTTTTTTGCGGGGGATCGAAGAACTACATTTGAAACAAGAATAAACTGTCTACAAGAATTGAATCCTTCAAAATTCTTCGAGCACTACGATACCGAGGGCTTGGCAAGTAGTTACTGAATTTTGCCCACCCAAAGACATGGCATATTCGTCCAATAAGTGATGCTCCTACAAATTGACAAGAGGAAAAGAAAATAACAAGATGACCTTTTATAACATAGACGAGAAGTTCGCTGCTGGTACTGACAATGGGTTGCAGTTGTGGGCCTAAAACAATACAAGGGCATACTGTAACAACATTTAGCCCATTCTTTTCTGCATATTCCCAGGCTGTTTCTTCAGCAACAGTTTTAGCAAGACAGTACCAGAGCTGCCAACAGAAATTGTAAAGGGTCGAACTTAGTCCTCAGACACTGCAATAATTTGTAATTTATGAGTAATATCAACTTATGCTGAAGAAATCAACATGTCACGGATCAGCAACGAAAATTGAAATACCAAAATTATATTATGTAAAAGATTCCATAATAATATACTCATGTGTAATAGCCTACTTACATCACAATGTAAGTTGTGATTGGTTCTTAACTTTAAATATTATTACTAACCTCATTATCCACGCATATTTTTTTGTCGGGCCAGCAACTCTCATCTTTGGGTTTAGCCTGAGGCCAGTTGGGGTTAAAATGAACAGAAGAAGTGGATGACACCACCACAACTTTCTGAACCTTCATAGATGAACAAACTTCAAGAATATTTACGGTGCCCTTCACAGCAGGCACCATCACTTCTGACTGCACGGTTAAAGTTAGCACAAAATTAGAAACAGTCAAAAGGATTGTACAATTCCAATAACAAGCTGTAATCGTCCAGCAGTAGGTCCTAGGAGTCTATCACTCTAGAAAATACACACTTCTTAGAAGAATCACATAAATACATAAGTGGAGGTACGTATATAGACGGTAAATTAATCTCTGCATCGACAGTTAAAAAAGACGAATAGAAAGTCAAAATTCAGTTGAACAATTCTCTATTGCTGCACCATGAATTGGTATTGATAATATGATATCGACAGATGTGTACTACTAGCCTCAGGATCGACGATCTTATCCGCGGGGACGGGGGAGGCGACGTGGAAGACGCCCTCGCACCCCTCGACGGCGGCGGCGAGCGCGGCGCTGTCCAGCACGTCTGCCTTGAACAGCCGCAGGCTCTCCGCCGCCCCGTCCAGCTGCATCAGATGCGCGTTCTTGGAATCACCTGAACCAAACATTCGGACGTCAACCGGCGAGGTGGGAGCAGGACGGAGAGGAGAGGCGAGCAGGACGGAGAATCAGATCGGACGCGGCGTACGTACGTGGGTTGCGGACGGTGGCGTGGACGGCATAGCCCCGGGAGAGGAGCAGCTTGACGAGCCACGAGGCGATGTACCCGCCGCCGCCGGTCACGCACACGCGCCGCGGTGGTGCCATCCCCCTCGTCCTTCACCTACGGGATGGCTTGCTGCCGCGTCGTCGGCTCTTTATGTCTCTGTCGCAGGTTTGCCGGCTTGGCACTTTGTCCACCCACTTGCCGGCCGGTGGACTCCACGGCGCAAATCGACATCAAAAGATTATGCCAAGACCTAACAAAGACCACTCGCGACCAGGGTAGAGACGAACAACGAGCAGATTGTGTGCCGTCCGCCTTGGAATCATCGCACCGCGTGCTTTCGTCGCCGGCTGATTGGTGCCAAAATGCCTCGGGTGCTTTCTGTTTGTTACCAGCCATGCACTACGCACGTCCTCGTGCACGCACATGCACATTGTGTGTTCACATGTTGTCCTATTGTTCTGCTACTAATATGGATTGAAGAGAGCATCTTTTATTTTGTACATGTATTTATTCGGCTTAAAATAGTGGATATTAGTTTATATCCATTAATGCTCACTTTTCTTTAGAAGAAAGGTTGAATGTAAATATGAATTTGATTTGCTAGTTTGCTTAAGGACCCCCATAAATTTTGGACGTTCGGATTTTAAGCATGACAAACGGAATGTTTTTTATGGCAACTTTAGTTGACGCGAGGTGGCAAGTTTAGTTGGCAACTAAACTTACCACCCCGCGTCAAATAAAGTTGTCATAAAAACGTTCAGGTTGCCATGCTTAAAATCCAAACATTGGCATTTATTATTTCCGTTGCTGAATGCGTTTGTGGTTGTATTCCTGGAGTTGTGGTGGCGAACGGGTAGAGGAATGAAGAAAGAAAGAAAGGAAGAAGAAAAGCTAGTCGCTAGGGTTGCGAACAGGTGGGGCCGTGGCACGCTTTCATGTTCCATCTCCCCTTTGCGGTAACCACTCCACTACAAAAGAAATGTCCTGACTATTTTTAGGTGGTGCGGATGCCTGAATTCCTTAATCAGGAAAGTCATGCTACTAGAATGGGCATCCGATAGGGCATAAGGCCATCTCCGATACGGACTCTTAAAATCGCCAGTAAACGTCTGGATCGATTTGTCCGGACAGCATAAGCCATTCAATGTTTTCCCACATTTGTCTACGAACCAGTTCGGGTGTTCGTTATTCCGCAAACCAGAGGAGCTTTGCGGGAGTCTGGACACCCATCACATAGGATTATGATACCTTCAGGCCACGCGAAATTGAGGTGGAGCCCGGGCATTTGGAGCGGTCGTACTTGTTTTCTTGGCAAAACTCCCCCTTCTCCACCCTCTCAACTACCATCCCGCCTCTCTCCACACCAATTACCATCATTTTCGCCTCTGTTGCCACATGGACCCATACGAAAAGCTACCAAAGACGGCAGGGGTGGAGGATCCGAAGAAGGCGGTCGCCCGGAAAATCAACTCGACGACACGTCAAGCCCGCCGCCTCAATGCGAAGGCAAAGGTCGGGCAGGCCGGCAAAAAGAAGGGTGCACGGGCTGGGCGGGGCCTAGGACGTGGGGTGCCATCACCATCATGTCTGAAAAAGTACTAGCCTCCCTACTTCTACGACATCCAGTAGCTCAGCCGGCAGTCCCCGGCATCCGCCATTAGGCAGGTGTCGTATTGCGTCGACGTCAATGCAGCCCCGCTCTATTTCGCAGAGTCTACGTCGCCGCAACTTGTCCAGATGTGAACGAGGGGCGTGGATCAGCTTGGTCCCAACTCTCTGTTCACCGGTATGTATCGACTGGGCGAGCCGGTGTACGACAACGCAGACTGAGAGATGATGGATCACACTCCGACGTGAAGGAGGAAAAGAAGGCTGAGAGGTTTAACATCTTGATGGCCGCAGCGGAGAAGAAGTTCAAGCTTGAAGAGAAGAGGGTTGACCTCTTTTCGTCTGGGAAATCGGTATCCACTTTGGTCGAGACTAGGGCAATACCTATTTATTCCAACATGATATAAGTAATCTAGTATGTTAACTCATGATTTACTTGTCCACATTAATATGATTTCTCTCAACTCCGCACAAATATTCCATTACATATTCTAATGCGTTAGCTCGCGATTTACTTGCCCGCCTTAATATTCCGCCGTAAATACACCGCCACTCTCGGTGTATGTTTTCTCTCGACTCACCATATGGCAATCGCTAATCTATAAATGTCCCTCACTCCATGGTTCGCCACCCCCATGTTGTTCCTCCCCTTGCGCCACCCTGGAGTTCGAACATGTTTGTCCATTCCCTTGTCTTGTGCATGCCACCCTGCCCTATGTCCCGCATTTTTTTAGGGTGTGGGTAGATTCCATTCGACAAGAAGTCTTAGTTAAGTGACAAACCATATAAAAGAAGGAAAAAAATAAAAGAAATTTTTACATGAATCTCTGCGTTGACAGAGACTTCCTAAGTTTCAAACTGAGATTTAGCATTCCCCTTTTTTTTATCAAAAGAGGGGTTAATCCCTCTGGTTCATTAACGAAACCGAGATTTACACAAGTTCACCAAACAAAACAAGTCTGACCGATTGCCACCATCTCAACATTTGAGATCAGGCAACTAAAACATATGGCGCTAAATTTTCTTTTTAGATTTCACAAGGATCTTGCGCTGAATTTTGGAGGATTAGTATCCTTAAGAATTTTTCCTACATTGATTGTTTGAGTTGTAGGATTGAATTCTATATGAATTTTTCCCAAGAATTTCTCTGTACTACATCTATAGGGTTTCTAGCATCCAGTCAAATATCTTTCAAAGAATCCTTTGTTTTTTCCTATGACAATAAAAAAATCCTATAAGATTTTTTTCTCTCGAATATATCCTATAAGATTGAGAGCATGGCATTTCAATCCTATATTTTTCTATTCCCGCATTTTTAGAATTCTACAAATCGAAGACGCCCTACGTTTGCAAGCCTCAAATCGTGGGTGCGTTGGACGTCTCAGCACCACCTTGCCAACCGAGCTAAAAGCGTGCATCCTACCCTGCAAGCCACCTCGGCAGTGACCTCAGACAACATTTACAATACAGTTTGCTTCATTAATGAAATCGGGGTTCTACTCCTTTATTATCGACGAGGGTAAAATGCTCCGGACAACAACATTTGTAATACAGTTTGCTTCGTTAATGAGACCTGGACACAAAACAGCAGAGATACAACCCTGAACCGAAAAGTTGTGTTTGCCACAACCAATCTACAGCGAGGCAGCGAGCAGCTTCACTCTCTCTGGTCTCCTGTCATCTTCACAGCAGATCCTTAACTATTTCCCACAATATTCAGCAGATCCTTAACTATTTCACTGGCCACTGCCGCTCTGCACTCTCGACTCATTCGTCGGCAGCTTGAAAATGACGGAAAATATCAGGAAGGCGGTAGGCCTGTCCCTCCACATCCTGCAGATTTCCCATCTTCCGGTGGTATTCGATGCTATCCAGGAGCGTCTCCTCCAATGCCCTCGGCTTCCAGCCCAGATTACTCAGTTTTCCCGACGAGATCGGCGTGATACGAGAGTTCTGCTGCGCATCCGCCTTGCTGCAGAAAGCAGAGAGAGAATTGTTCAAACCATATGAACAAGCACGTTGGTTCAGGGCAAATGTGCCATTTTTATACATACAAGGAACACATAATAAGAGAAGAGACGCACCATTTTACATAGTTGTAGTCAGGGTACGTCTTCTTTAGCAGCTCCAGCAAAGCCTTTGTGCTAATGTAATTTGGTGCGCAGATATATCTCCCGGATGATTCTGGTTTCTCGTATACCAGAAGCAGGGCCTCGGCCACATCACGGACATCGACTATGTGCCACAGCATCTCATTCAATGCATTAGGACCTCCTGTAATAAAATGTTCAGCACTCCCAGAAGTCAATAATTAAAAGACAAGTAGTTCTCCGAAACGCTGTCAAGAGGATGAGGTAAAACAATTGTGCACAAACAGAATAAAGCAATACAGGACATTATTAACTGTCATGATATTATTAGTCCAATCATATTTAAGAACCTTCTTCAACAGCACAGATGAGTTTTGTAGTTCTTACATAGGGGGAAAGTAAGAGCATCCTTAGAGGACAAGATTCTAAAACCCAAATACAGAAAAAGAAAGTGTATGATTGGTATGTCATGGCTTCTCAAATCATGCAGCAAACGAAGGAATTTGCAAAAAAAAACTATAGTAATATAACAGTAATCCAGGAAGAGAGAAGGCCAAGAAGAATTTTTTCCATGAGGTTAAGCACATGGAAGAAATCATTCAATTTTTTTCATAGATTCAGTTATTCTATAGGACGGTCCAAAAAAAACACATACTGATAATATTCCTAGAACCACATTCGTTTTATGACTAAATAGGAATATTTTCTAAAAAATACATAGGAATTTTTCTGTAGGGTTTCAATTCTTCCAAAATTCCTACATTGCCAAGAGAGCCTGGTTACTGAATTTCGCCCACTCAAAGACATGATTTTGTTTTGTCAGATAAGTGATATTCCTACATGCCAACAATAAGAAGGGGCAAAATGAAATAATGAGGGCACCTGTTATGACATAGAGGAGGAGTTCGCTTGTAGTATTGACAACAGATTGCAATTGTGGCCCCAAAACAATACAAGGGCATACTGTAACAGCATTTAGCCTGTTCTTCTCTGCATATTCCCAAACTGTCTCTTCAGCAACAGTTTTAGCAAGACTATACCAGATCTGCCAACAAAAATTGCAAAGCTTTGAGGGAAGCCCTCGCATGTTACAACCATTTTGTAGTCTCAAGTAATTATTGACTAATGATGAATACACTAGTATGTTAGGGATTAACAAAAAATCGCATGTCAAATCTTCACGTAAAGAAATTAACGTATATGCTTAGCTTTAGCAAGTACATTGGGACTAAATTCCATTGTTATATCAACAGGCTTAGCTTCAGCAAGTATGTTGTGACTGAATTCCATTGTTCTATCAGCTAACAGTTCTAATTATAACATTATTACTAACCTCATTATCCTTGCATACTTTTCTGTCCGACCAGCAACTCTCGTCTTTGGGTTTACCCTGAGGCCAGTTGGGATCATAATGAACGGCAGCAGTGGATGACACCACCACAACCTTATGAACCTTCAGAGATGAACAAACTTCAAGAATATTTAAGGTCCCCTTCACGGCAGGCACCATGACTTCTGACTGCAGGGTTATATTTAGCACAACATTAGTAACAGACCATCAAGAATCTGCATTTTCCAAATATTGGACTTCAACAAGATTTTAGTGCCAGTAAGGCAGTAATAACTTGTAATCGTCTCTGACAGCAGTGAGTCACTTAGTTCGCACTCTATTACTCTATTAAGTGAGCACACTAATTAAAATGCTGATCTAAGCTCCTACTCCACAACTGTTGGATATACTTATATCGACATCGACAGGAGTGCTAGATTTGCACCCAGAAATGAAAGAAAATAGCAAGTCAAAATCCAATTGCAAATATTCTGACGGTACTGCTGCTATGAGAGAGACTCCATCTCCATGGTGGAGCAACGAATAAATCATGGGAGCTGTGTAATTTTGTGAACCAAGTACAACACACGGTAATTTTGTGAATCGGCAGATGTGTACTAGCCTCAGGATCGACGATCTTATCCGCAGGGACGGGGGAGGCGACATGGAAGACGCCCTCGCACCCCTCGACGGCGGCGGCCAGCGCGGCGCTGTCCAGCACGTCGGCCTTAAACAGCCGCAGGCTCTCCGCCGCCCCGTCCAGCTGCATCAGATGCGCGTTCTTGGGATCACCTGAAACGGCATCCCGACGTTAATCACTAACCGGCGAAGTAGGCAGCAAGAAGAAAGGAGGAGCGACCGGATCAGGTGCGCCGTACTTACTGGGGTCGCGGAGCGTGGCGTGGACGGCGTAGCCCCGGGAGAGGAGCAGCTGTTGACGGTGGTGCCATACTGCTCCTCTACTTATTACAGGATGGTTCGCAGCTTCCTTGGTATAGGATTCTTTTCCAGGACTCCACGGCGCTAATCGACGTCACTACGAATATCAAGGGCACCTAAAAAAGACCTCAAAGGAAAAGAAAGCCGCCCCTATCTGTCAAAACGTCCGTGCAAACGGACAGCTGTTGGACGTCGGCCTTTCAGAGCAACTCTAGCAAACCCGATGTAATAGCGACCCGTATAATGCGTTTACAGTTCGACGAGAAACTGTTTTGCGGATTGAAATCGTGCGCGGCAGACGTATAATTTAAAGAAAAACTTTGGCGGGAGAAATTGCAACCACACTAGTTAATCACATACTACATGATCATACACTAGTTCATCACATACTACAAGATCATGCATACTACATTCTTCTACTACTACAAGAGGGAGGTGGGGAATCTCGCGGCGGCGAGGCCGAGGTCGATGTACCAAAATGGACGAGCTCGCGGCCGAGGACGACGTGGTGAAGGAGCTCAGTCCTCCTCGTCGAAGCTGACGAGATTGATGAACTTCTGCCTCTGCTCCTTGCGGATGCGCCGCCACTCGTCGTCCTTCTTCTTCGCGGCAAGGTTCGCCGCGACCGCCTGCTTGAGCATGAGGTCTTCAAGCTCCTCATCATGGCACCGGTGCTCCGCCTCCTCGCGCAAGCTCCATTCGGCAATGGTGGTCGCGACCACGTCGACATCGGCCACGAAATCTTCGGGCCCGACGACACCTCGGCGCTCGATCTCCTCCGGCTCCTGCTTGACGGCGACGAGCTCGCGGTCCTCCGGCTCCTTCGACCACTCCCTCTTCACGGGGAGAAGCGCCGCGTCGGAAGACGAAGAGCCCGCGGCCGAGGAGGGCGTACGCCCGTGCCGATGGTCGTACTCCTCCGTCTCGCGACAAAGGAGCCTCACCGGCGGCTCGAGGCCCTTGTTCGTCCACTTCCTCGCTGCACGCTTCCTCACGCCATCTGAGCGGACACGTCGCTCGCGCTCGGGGTCGCCGCCCCCGCTGGAGCTGCCACTGGAGCTGCGGCCGGAGCTCCACATGCGGCCCCACATGAAGGCTGGAGACGGAAGGGGGCTCACCGGCGGCGAGAAATGTGAGGGAGGGAGTAAGAAATTGCGAAGAAACGCGGCGGCGGGGGGATAGGGTTTAGACTCGTATCTGCCCCGCAAACCCGTAGATATACTACTTCAGGGGAGCGGTTTGCGGGCCGCGGTAACATTTTTTTATGGGCCGGACGAGTATACTGGCTCTGTTCTGGCCAGAAAACTGGGCTGAGCCCGTATACTCACCGGAATTATGCGGGTTCGCGAGATATACGGGGTCTGCTAGAGTTGCTTTCATGGCTAGCAACTAAGGAGTATCCTTTACCAATTCGCTCGCCATTTCCATGCGACGCTCACCGCAACGACGCCCCGGTCTCCCGGTTGTCTCGCGGCTTCCCCAATCACGGGTTGCAGCCCCTCGTTCGTCGTTTGCAGCTCCACCATCAAGGGATCTACGGCTGTAGTTGGTTGTAGCTTCGATTATCGCCGGTTGCAGCTTCTTATCACACAGTTGCAGCTTCTCCCCAACAGTGCCGGTAGATGTAGCTCCACCAGACTATGGTTGCAGCTCTGCACACCGACGGTTGCAACTCCCGTCATCGCGGTTGCAGCATTCCCACAACGGAGGGCACACTGTGTTAGGAGGCTTGCAGCTCCCCACCGTCGAGGTTGCAGCTTCCGCATCAGTCGTCGCAGCACCCAGTTGCCACCAGCACCGACGTCGATCGTCCCTTGTGAGCTGCTCGGCGTTGTCCGCGCAACATTGAAGCCGGTTGTTTTTAGCAATACCCCGGCTAGTTCGGCACCTCTCATGGGTGTGCCTACCTCTAGAGTGCCCGTCTTCAGTTGCAGCTCATACCAGAGTTCGTAGCACCTCCAAATTGCTAATGTCACCTCGTCGGTCACCATGGGTAGCTCCTCGTCGTGTCATGGTGAAGATGAAGCATGCCATGGCGTCTCGTCGGTCATCACGGGTAGTTCACCGTCTCGTCGTGGTGAAGAAGGAGCATGAAGATGCCATGAGAGATGCGGTCCACACGGAGAAGAAGATGAGGAAAAGATACGAATGGCTGAGGACGTGTATGGAAGAGGATAAGGAAGAGAGAAGAGTTGGGGAGTTGGGAAGTAAAGCGATGTAGATGTGGACCAGGAGACGTGCATAGGTTTGTTCTGTCAGCACAGATTCATGTGCAACCGTGTGGTGCGCGTGCGACCGACACACTCATTCAGCCGGTTGGACGGTTACAATCGTTTCCTGTTAGAATCCTCTTTCACATCATTAATTATAGTGTCACACCATATTTTTGCTTAAATGGCAATGCATGAAACTCTTATGATACTCCCATTATGGGAGTTAGCAATACAATCAACTACCCCCTGTCTCATAATATAAGAGTGTTTTTGACGCTACACTCACGATATATAACTAATCCATAAGCACTTCCTTCTGGATGAATTGCCTTGCTTAGCACACAAATGAGCCAGCTCGTTGGCATCTCACCGAGCAAAATTGACCATAAAACTGTTAACATTCCCGCACGTCTCGTGTATCTCTTTGAGGATGATGCTAGCCTCCATTCTTCATAGTTGCCTGAATTCCACAAATTAACAAGCATGTGATTCCACAATAATATATCGTCTCGCTCGTGCATGCATCCTCCTATGACATAATTTTTTGGTTCGGCACGACATTCACTTTAATCACTACTTCCTTCGATCCATATTAATTGTCACAGACTTATTACAAAGTTAGTACAGCTTTGTACTAAGTTTGCGTTCATTAATTTGGGTTGAAAGGAGTACCGTTGTTGAAGAGCAGGAGAATGAAAATACCATGAATAAAATTCATAGTAGGATAGTAGATAATTGTCTTGCGATGGCAACATAGGCTAACTATGTTGATGGAGGTCATCATCATGTGAACTATATGTGTTTGTATGGTCCATGTCTTTTCTAATAATATTATTATTTTTGTATCTATCTATATGTATGCAATATCAAAGTATAACCGTCAAATCATCTACGTTGTCATAATTTTTCTTTTCAAAATGGTCGTTCTACCAGTGTAAAGATTGTTGTTTTACAACCAATTAGCATATAAACATATTCATTCATGGCCCAGGGGCCTTACGGACAATCCACGGCCAAATCTACAGTTTCACAGTTATTTTAGCGAAACAACTTCTGGTTTTTTTAGGAGAAACTTTCAATTTCTTCAGGGGTGGAGGTTCACAACAGCTTTCTCATAGCTCACAGCTCACATAAGCTTTTGCACGATCTACAGCTCAACCAAACACAGTCTTAGATGTGATATAACCTAGATGAGATTTAGCAAATTCGTTCGCTTTAATCACTAGCTAGCATTCTTATTCTGGGTAGCAACACCGTTACCCTGTGATTTCCTCCATGACCTGAGCCTCCGAAAGATAACCCTCTGCTTCAGATTTCGCCGCAGCAAGCCCCTATCGGTGAAATCCGGCGAGAAGCAGCAGAGGTACAGGTACCATCCCTGGAGGCGGTGGACGGCGTTGGGCACACACAGCGATCCGTGCCCAATCCAGCTCACCGCCGCACGCGCGTAGGCATCCGGGGTCAGCACGAACTGCCGGATGACCCTGGCCGCGCTCGACACCATGTTTGTCTCCACCAGGAACGGGACCTGGTGGATTATATAGGCAATCAATCAAGCATGATTAATCTGAGGAGGACGAATGTGTGTACATACATCAGCTGCTCACGTATGTACACGAACGATTTTTTCCAAAAACAAAGATAAAAGATTTACCTCATCAATTACTTAAATAGAAGAGAATTGTCCAGTTAATTGATAGATAACCGGGTAAAAACCGATACAAACCAACTAGTACATGCTAACTACTCACAAAGCACGCAACCCCGTAAGCATAAGATCAGCTCGACAACTATACCCAACATGCAATGACCGCCAACCCCCACATTTCTACAACGCAAATGAGTGATTATGGTACCTGACATTGCACATCGATTCCTCTGCTTTTGTACTCCACGGAAAGGCTACTGGAGAACTCAAGAACGTACCTGCAGCTCCACGAGAAGTCAAGAACAGAGCTTCGTTTCTTTTTGACAGGAAACAGAGCATGTCTTTCATGAATAACACGGGAAAGACGTGAGCGTCGTTGTTACCGCTTCGTGGCTACGTAGACGGAGTAGAGGGGGTAGGACGGGAGGGCGAACGATGAGCCAGAGCCGATGTTCACGATGGCGCCCCTCCCTCGCCGCAGCATCCCCGGCAGCACCGCCGCCGTCACCTCCGTCAGGGCCAGCGCGTTCACCCGTATCATCCTCACCCAGGCCTCCGCGTCCACCTCGTGGAGGTACACCGCGCCCGGCTTCGCCACGCCCGCGTTGTTCACCAGCACCCCTACGTCCAGCCCCGCCACGGCTTCCCGGAGCCGCCGCATCGCCTCGTCGCCTGCATGCCCAAGGTCGATCGACACGTGAGGACCGTTCAGTCAGTGCTCTGCTCAGACGGATACGTACGCTATGTATGATGCTCCTGCGATTAACTTTTACACACCTTGCGCGGTGGAGACGAGGGAGAAATCGAACAGCACGGTCTTGATCTGCACGGCGGCGTGAGCCCTGGAGATCGTCTCGGAGATGTCCCTGAGCTTGGCGGGGTCGCGGCCGACGAGGACGAGGTTGAGGCCCCTCTCCGCGAGCTCCAGGGCCATGGAGCGCCCGATGCCGGACGTTGGGCCGGTGACGATAGCCCAGGCGCCGTACCGGTGGCGGAGGTCAATGGGCCTGCGGAGGAAGACCGAGAAGTAGGCGATGAGGCGGAAGCTGATGGCAACGACATGGAGAGCGCCAAGCAAGGCCAACGAGAAGAACCACACCGGCACGGCCATCTCGCGGACGCGGTGCGTCTCTGGTACCTGCAAATGCGGTTGAGCAACGAAGGCACAATTGGGAAGTGTGCTCATGCTCATCCATCGCGAGCGGCTTGGGATATATAACATTGAAGAAAATACCGGAGACCACGAGGGTTCAAGTTCTAGTGCCCCACTTCTCAAAAAAAAAAAAAGTTCTAGTGCTTCTATGGCGACTTCATAAAAATGCATGCGTGTGTTCATAGGGGTGAGTGTATGCGTGTTTATATGAGATCTGTACTATGTTAAAAAAATTACCCGAGACTAACTTGCGATTCAAAACACGTGACCAGACTTTTAATTCGAACCATCGTTTTTCTAGGATTGGGGACCGTCAGTCCGTTTCATTTTCTCTCTTTAGGATTTTGTTTTTCCAGCGGTACCAACGAAGTGATGGCAGCGATGTTGTGTGGGAATAAGGTCCCTCCCTACCTCGATGACGTTTGACCCGGTGCCGACGTATGATCTGTGGGAGTTTGTGTCCCCGCATTTGTGGGCTCTCTTTAGATATCGGCAATTGGAACAAGGTCCTTTGCAAGACGGATAGTGCTCATCTTCCTTCCCAACGGTTGCGGGCGACGTTTCTTTCTTCGTGAATGACGATCTCACGGATCCAGCGACTCTGCCATCGCGCCGAAGGTGCCTTCATCAATTTTAGAACACGGATAGCTCAGGTGGCTCAAGCAGCTTAGAAAACCTCAAGGAGGATCCCCTGGGTGGAGTCCTCGTGACGGCGTAAATGGTTCCTTACTGCAGCGATGCTTCTCCCGGTGTGGGTTGTTCTCGTCAACGGCAACTCGTTGGTGTTAGGGCTTGTTATTTTTCTATCTTGTAAAATCTGTTATTTAAAACTACAATTGTATCGTTCTTATCCGAGTAAAGCAGTTTATTCTAAAAAGATCAATCTTAGATAAAAAAAAAGGATAATTGGATTTTGCTAATCCCAGTTGACTAAGAATTAGTTAGTTGTCAGCAGACGCCAAGGACCATTTATCCAATGTTGAGATACATGCACGATTCAATGTTAGTTTGAACTTCGAGAGGGAAAAAATAAAATTTCCCCAATGAACAAAATGTTACAGCACGGTGAACATTATTACAGATATGCATGAGGTATATTAAGACAATATTACTGCTTTTTACACTTGATGAACATATTCTTCTTCTAATACCGACGCACATAGCTTTTGTGTGTTTGCAAAAAAAAAAAAAGACTACGGTTAGAATCCTGGGGCAGTTACAATTCAAAAATAACTAGAACGTATGGTTTTTGTAGTAATAGTCTTATGTAGGAACAATATTTATATTGAACTTTTTAATTCTGCTTGATTTTTTTGTGAAGTCAATTGAAAATTTGCTATTTTTAAATCAAGTGAGAAATAGACGCTTCCTAAAAATGTGCTTATCATGGAGCTAAATATACTTGTACTACTACCTTTAAAGCCGGGCCACATGTGGAATAGTTATTCAGTAGGGCTATTTTAAGCTCTGTTTGTTTCATAAGTTATAAGACTTTTTTAAGTCCCAACTTATAAGTCATAAGTCCCTACCTGTTTGTTTACATCGACTTATAAGTCCCGAGTCCCTACCTGTTTGTTTACAGGGACTTATAAGTCCATGTTGCACCGCTGCAACGAGGCTCAGGAGAGGGCCTGTCCGGCGATTGGAGGCACCGCTGTAACGAACCGAGGCAGAACGAACCGAGGCGGGGCGGCGACGGGGCGGCTAACCGAGGCAGAACGAACCGAGGCGGGGCGGCGACGGGGCGAGAGGCGGGGCGGCGAATGGAGCGAGAGGTGGGGCGGCGGCGGCGATTGGACCGAGAGGCAGGCGGCGTGCGGGGAACGAGGCTGGAGCGACGCGGGGTAGGTCCGGCCCGGGATAAGTCCCAATAAGCTCCTCCCTGAGAGTCTTATTTGATAAGTCCCAAATCACCACAATAAGTCCCAATAAGTCCATTATGTTTGGTTTAGGTGAGACTTATAGGGACTTTTTTAAGTCCCTAAACCAATAAGCCCCTGGAAACAAACACCCTCTAAGGCTTAACCAGAAAACCATTCTGAAGAATACTGCCAACCAAGTTATTCCTTGAGATGATGTCCTTATCTGTGCAAAATAATTTTAGATCTTGTAGTCACATCGACGCCCATAGCTTTGTAAAAGAAGCACTTTTCATGTGCGTAGCTTGGCATACCCACGCAACTGAATGAATAGCATGCATAACATGTAATCGTAACACCATTAATTTGTCGAAATGGACCGGTACTAATGCAGATAGTTGTTCGTTAGGTAGGGGCTGCCAACGATTTACTAAGGGAAATCTGGTCTCATGTTAAATTACTCCTGAACTAAAACTAGAACAAGAAAACAGTGCGTGAATTCTACCCGGGCCTGTTTGCTAGATACTACTCCGTAGATGACAAATGGCTCCATCACGCACTTGTCAAGGATTTTTTGTCAGGGCCTCCAAGTGATCTCTCAGGGTGTACTGTTCTGTGAACGGAAATGGGCTATGGTGATGTTTGGTTCTAACATATTTTCTTTAAAAAAATAGCGACTTTACTTGAGGACTCATTCTGATTAACTAGACTCGATATCCTGAAATTTTGGTGTGTCTCGGCAAAGAAAACGGACAACCTTCAGTTCGTTGGCGCATTCAGCTCGGCATTTAGTGGTTCGAGAGGCTCTAGCCCTCGCCGAAGATCTCAACTTGCAAAGGATCCATGTGGCAACGGATTGCAAGGTTGTGGTGGATGATATCAAACATAGGAATCTGACAAAGCTATGGTGCAATTCTACATGAAATCAGAGATCATAGTTCTTCCTCTACAACCTATAGTTTTGCTCCTGAGTTTAGGAGCTCGAATTTCAAAGCTCACAATCTAGCGAGGCAATTTCTTGAAGTTAGGGTTTTGCCGTCATGTTTGGTTAGGCAACCCGGGTGACTTTTCTTTTGTACCTATAAACATTGATCCAAGTTAATAAAAGCCTCGCGAGATTGTCTAAAAAAAAACTTGGCATTCCGGCTTGCGAGCTAAAAGCCTGTTGCGAGCTCGAGGCGACTATGTGTAGGGAAAAGTTCGGATTTGGAAAAAATCTCGCACGCCCTAGTCCCCACGTTGTCCCCCCGCGTGTGACTCAGGCGACGACGCCAGATCTCGCTGTAGGCAACCCCCTCCTTTCCTCACCAACATCGTCGGCTGGAGCCGCCAGGGCAACGCTCCTCACGGTGGCTTGCGGGGCACCTTCTTCTCTCCTCTCCTCTCCTCGGTGGTGGTTGGCACGGGGCGAAGACCCATCAGGGCGGAGACATTGGGTGTGAGAGGGGCCCGGCGGCGCGGTGATGGTGGCGGCATGCTCATTGTAGCGGTAGGCTGGCGGACAGGTTGCAGCTCATGGTGCAACGGCTGCGTCTCCGTGGCGGCAGGTGCTTCACTTAACTAGGAAGGTGTTGGACCCTCAAGTGCAAGGGTTTTTTAAGCAATCTCCTTCAAGTGACCTCAAGGTTTATCAAACCAACATGAGTTTAATAACAAAACTAATGATCAGTACCTGCACACACAAATATAAAACCGCCTTAGCCCCAATAGGACTAGTGAGATAGTGAGTCTCACTAGCTTGCTAGTAACAAGGATTAAAAACACAAGTGTATGCAAATTTTGGTTGCGACAAAAAAGTAAAAGCAATGAATAGAAAAGAGCGTTTGAAAATGGATGGGGATCCACAGGCTCACTACTGGTTTCTCTCCAAAATAAAGTATGTTGTTGTGAACAAATTATACCAGTGCATCGATTAAATTGCAGCTGTTATAACTACGACTATCCATAACATAATCATCATATGAGCATCACGTTCTAATATCTATAGACCGTTATCCAACTGCATCTATAGCTAATACTCAATCCAAAATTGCTATCCAGCTTGCACCATAAAGTACTAAGTAAATGAGTAAAGTATTGCATGAGTACGATGACATGAAGTAGATGATATATTGTCTTCACCCTGCGTTCAAAGGACACCCATATTTTTTATCGCTAGTGTCAACAACACAATACAAGCCTTTTCTACTTTCTGTCAATGCGGTACATTACTTGCAATGTTAAACCCATGGGAATCAGCCCTCAAACTTGGTCAAAGAAAGATATATAGATCGGAGAGCATATTAGTAGTATAAAGGATGCGGGAGTACTCGCCTCATGGGGGGCTTTGAGAGCAAGGAGGGTCTCAGCGCAGTCTGTTTCCGGTTGCGTGTTGTAGGCGCCTCTAGACCTCCCTCCGTTCGATCTTCCCGGACAGCCCGCATCGGGCGGATTGCCTCAGGGGTCCATGACAGATGGATCACGGGTGCTACCGGAGCCACCGTCATGGGGTGGCTCCGGTCCCATCGGCATGCATCGTCTTGCGTGCCCGCCCGCATGCGAAAGGGAGTTCGGGGTGACCTAGCCCCGGCTCTTCATGTCCCTTGCACCAGCTTGTATTTGGAACCAGTTTATCTACTTGCTCGTGCCACGCAGAGCAGACACTTCGGATGCAAACATCAAATCAGGGGATGTGGCTACGTCCTCTTGACACCACAGCACCCACCGAGCAAGGCTCGGTACTCCTTTGCATGGAGACCCTGCGGAATCTGGATAGGGAGCAAAGGGGTTAAGGGCACCCATAAGCAGGGACCTCCTATCTGGCAGCATGTGTGCCAAATAGGGAGGAAAAGCGCACCCCCCCCCCCGCGCGCCTGGTCATTGGGCCAGCCCATGCAGAAGGCTGGGATGCCCCTGGTTTTTTCATTTAATTTTTATATTTTCCTTTTATGTTTTCATCTTTAAGATAATTCGGGACTGCAAAAAGTTCCCAATTTCAAAAAATAGTGAAATTTCAAGTGTTTGAGAAATCATAAAATGTTCGTGAATTCGTAAATGTTCATGATAACGAAAAATGATCAGGAAATCATAAAATGTTCGTGATTTTGAAAACAAATGTTC